TGAGTGTGAGGAAATATGAGAAAAATAAAACATTATTAAGGAGAGAGAACAATAAAAGAACAATAATTAAGAAGACGGTAGACATTACATTTAAATTTTTGAAAATCAAAGTTGACTGATAAGCAAGAAGCCGGAAAAGAGTTTCAGAAATGATGAATGTGAGAGAAGAAACTATTAGCATAGAACTTACGGTTGCATCTAATCATTTCAACTGTAAAATGATGAGACCTTGCCTACAATCTAGTACTACGCTTAAATTCATGAACATCTAGATACCATAGAGGAAAATTCATCAGAACAATTACCAGGAAAATATTTATAGAAAAAGCACAGGGCAGCAACGTTACGATGATGGGAGTGTGACTTAAGTTGCCAGGTGCCAGGAAAGAACCAATAACATCGCAGATTCTTTAGATTTTATTAATTAAGCTTTATACATACATATATATATATATATATATATATATATATATATATATATATATATATATATATATATATTTAAATAAATATGACTATTTAAATTCGTTAGATTTTTAAAATATATTATTAAAAATTGTCAACTTTGGTGACTTCCTTTTACTTACCAGATCATTTCCACTTTCAGGGCAGAAATGGCTATATTTGCGTCGCTAAGCTATTTAATTATAAAATTATAATTAGCCATTATAACAATCTCTTATAAAGATCACAAAAAGACAAATTGAAATGAAAAAACAAAACAGTTATATTTCTAAATTTGATATTTTTTAATCTGAATATTCGAATCAGTTATCTCCATTAATCAAGTCTTGATAATTTGACCAAGATCTAGAAGAGGAAGTAGTATATATGATATTTGAGTAATTATCTTTTATAAAGGGGTGTTGAAAAGTTCTCAGATCGATCAAGGGGTTAATTTTAAGAAATGTTTAATGTTGAGCCATTTCGTTAGTTTTGGAAAGTGGGTTGAATCGGTAACTTTTTGAAAACCCTCGCATATTGCGAAAAATAGTTGTAAATCCGACCCGTTGTGCCAAAATTGTTGATTGGTTTTCTACGGTTTATCAACCCTTTGCAGGTTATTTAAAGCCAGAAAACACTTTTAGATTATAAGAACTTTAAGAAAAAAATTGAGATAATAATGGTTTTAGTGATCCAAGTCTTACTAATTAGTCCATAGCTGGGGGAAGAAGAGGAGGATTCGTACCTTTCCCAAGGGTATTTGTGCGTAAGTAAGTATAACGAACCCAACGGGAATTCGACCTCGGCTCTCTGTTTAAAAATTCTGTGTTATTATTAATTACACCACCCACACATCCAATCTTACAGCACTTGGCATTCCCAAGCAGTCACCCATCGAGGTACTGACCAGGTTCGGCGTTGCTTAACTTAGGTGATCGTACCCGTGAAGACTGTGCAACTCCTGCCTATGTATGACTGCAGTACTCAATTTTCGTCCTGATCTCGATCTTGTAAAGGTACAGGATGACACGAGGAGTCAGGTACTTACTGGTGCGGTACAGGGAACTGACCATTTTTCCAGCATCTTTAGCGATGGGTCGGATGTACGAGTTCCACTTGAGATCTGGGTTGAGTTTAAGGCCCAAGGTACGGAGCCTCCCCGAAGGAAAATCCATTCATCGTGATTGGTGGTACGAGAGATCAAGGATTCCTGGAATAAGTCGATGGTCTAAAAAAGTTTAGGGACCTTTAATTTAATGGTTCAATTAAAACAATAAACGATTTTTGCAGATTGCTTAATTATATATCCTCGATTATAACTTAGTCAGGCCTGAAGTATGGGACACAAAGTGAAAATCAAAATCACTATGGTAAGAAGTTATTTAATGCAATATTAATAACGTGTATTCGGACTGAGGCAAAAAGAACGAGGAAGAAGTTGTGTTAAAAAAAATGCAACAACGAGTCAGTCTTTTGTAATTAATGTTCCAGAAGATAGCTGGAAAAAAAAGTTCAACTGATACATGAAATGTTATTGTGAACTCTATTAACGCGTTCAAAGTATGGCACAGAAAAATACGTATAAGACTCGAGATTTGGTCAGACACTATGAAGACATCTTTAGATATGAATGCAATGACTGGAGCGATGATCAGAAAGTCAGACTTCTATTAGTAAATTAAATGACACAGAGCTAGGAAAGTTTGGCAATTTTATTCTTCTCCGACTCGAAAAGTTTGGTTATTTCAATATGGCTGACAATGTACTGTAAAAAAAGAAAAAAAAAAGAAAAAGAAAACTAGCGTTTTCCCTAAAAGTCACCAATGTTTGCAGCTTTTAAAGAGTTCCTGTGATGACTTCATCAATTATGCGAGTTCTGAAAACGGACAAGGTCAACATTTGAAATTAAAAGGCTAAACGGAGGATCCGTTTCGAAGATTCGTTTTTGTTTAGGGACCATCGTCAACAAAAGATGCTGATATTCATAGCGAACTATTGTCATAAGTTGAGAAATGTCCAAAAATCACTTGACAATCATTGGTGGAAAATGTCAGTTTAATAAATTAAGGATTAATTAATTAGTTTATGAATTAAACTGATAATCCTTCAGAAGTAAATATCGTATCATTGCTAGTATTAAAATGTATTTTTTCCAATTATTTTTCTGTTGAATAAGGTTTATAAAGAAGTCTGTTATTAAAAAAAAACAAGGTGAAAGGCTCATTTTATCTTTTTTAAAAAAAATAATTTCACTCCAAACAAGGCAATAAAGGTACTAAGACGCCATAGGTTACTGAGTGTGAGGAAATATGAGAAAAATAAAACATTATTAAGGAGAGAGAACAATAAAAGAACAATAATTAAGAAGACAGAAGATAACGGTAGACATTACATTTAAATTTTTTGAAATCAAAGTTGACTGATAAGCAAGAAGCCGGAAAAGAGTTTCAGAAATGATGAATGTGAGAGAAGAAACTATTAGCATAGAACTTACGGTTGCATCTAATCATTTCAACTGTAAAATGATGAGACCTTGCCTACAATCTAGTACTACGCTTAAATTCATGAACATCTAGATACCATAGAGGAAAATTCATCAGAACAATTACCAGGAAAATATTTATAGAAAAAACAGGCATCAACGTTACGATGATGGGGAGTGTGACTTAAGTTGCCAGGTGCCAGGAAAGAACCAATAACATCGCAGATTCTTTAGATTTTATTAATTAAGCTTTATACATACATATATATATATATATATATATATATATATATATATATATATATATATATATATATATATCTTAAATAAATATGACTATTTAAATTCGTTAGATTTTTAAAATATATTATTAAAAATTGTCAACTTTGGTGACTTCCTTTTACTTACCAGATCATTACCACTTTCAGGGCAGAAATGGCTATATTTGCGTCGCTAAGCTATTTAATTATAAAATTATAATTAGCCATTATAACAATCTCTTATAAAGATCACAAAAAGACAAATTGGAAATGAAAAACAAAACAGTTATATTTCTAAATTTGATATTTTTTAATCTGAATATTCGAATCAGTTATCTCCATTAATCAAGTCTTGATAATTTGACCAAGATCTAGAAGAGGAAGTAGTATATATGATATTTGAGTAATTATCTTTTATAAAGGGGGTGTTGAAAAGTTCTCAGATCGATCAAGGGGGTTAATTTTAAGAAATGTTTAATGTTGAGCCATTTCGTTAGTTTTGGAAAGTGGGTTGAATCGGTAACTTTTGAAAACCCTCGCATATTGCGAAAAATAGTTGTAAATCCGACCCGTTGTGCCAAAATTGTTGATTGGTTTTCTACGGTTTATCAACCCTTTGCAGGTTATTTAAAGCCAGAAAACACTTTTAGATTATAAGAACTTTAAGAAAAAAATTGAGATAATAATGGTTTTAGTGATCCAAGTCTTACTAATTAGTCCATAGCTGGGGGAAGAAGAGGAGGATTCGTACCTTTCCCAAGGGTATTTGTGCGTAAGTAAGTATAACGAACCCAACGGGAATTCGACCTCGGCTCTCTGTTTAAAAATTCTGTGTTATTATTAATTACACCACCCACACATCCAATCTTACAGCACTTGGCATTCCCAAGCAGTCACCCATCGAGGTACTGACCAGGTTCGGCGTTGCTTAACTTAGGTGATCGTACCCGTGAAGACTGTGCAACTCCTGCCTATGTATGACTGCAGTACTCAATTTTCGTCCTGATCTCGATCTTGTAAAGGTACAGGATGACACGAGGAGTCAGGGTACTTACTGGTGCGGTACAGGAACTGACCATTTTCCAGCATCTTTAGCGATGGGTCGGATGTACGAGTTCCACTTGAGATCTGGGTTGAGTTTAAGGCCCAAGGTACGGAGCCTCCCCCGAAGGAAAATCCATTCATCGTGATTGGTGGTACGAGAGATCAAGGATTCCTGAATAAGTCGATGGTCTAAAAAAAGTTTAGGGACCTTTAATTTAATGGTTCAATTAAAACAATAAACGATTTTTGCAGATTGCTTAATTATATATCCTCGATTATAACTTAGTCAGGCCTGAAGTATGGGACACAAAGTGAAAATCAAAATCACTATGGTAAGAAGTTATTTAATGCAATATTAATAACGTGTATTCGGACTGAGGCAAAAAGAACGAGGAAGAAGTTGTGTTAAAAAAAAATGCAACAACGAGTCAGTCTTTTTGTAATTAATGTTCCAGAAGATAGCTGGAAAAAAAAGTTCAACTGATAAATGAAATGTTATTGTGAACTCTATTAACGCGTTCAAAGTATGACACAGAAAAAGACGTATAAGACTCGAGATTTGGTCAGACACTATGAAGACATCTTTAGATATGAATGCAATGACTGGAGCGATGATCAGAAAGTTAGACTTCTATTAGTAACAAAAGAATTGAAACTAAGCTATATATATGGACGTCAACTTAGTTAGTAGATGTCAACTTTACAGCGCAAAGCGCGGAGGTCAGAAAAAATATCTCGGTGTTGAAGGTCGAACGGAGCGGTCACATCAAATGAAAGAAGTCAGTCGAAATATCACGTGCAACATAGCACTGAGTCATTTCGACCAGCAAATTCGAAGCCCGACCGACAGCCCGTGAGGAGAGACCGAGATAGAGGGCGGAAGAGACAAGAGAGAAGAGCGCAAGCGGAAGTAATGGGGGTGGGGGAGGGGAGTTGGTGAACGCGTCTGATACACAACGTGAGTTTTTCCCCAGAAATAACAAGCAAGACCCCACATCGTCTCTTACCGCTCGTACCCAGACAGACTGTACGCACACATTTGTCCTGACTGCTTCGCCGAGTTATCAGTGAATAATACTCTACCCGCACCTCCCGTTCTCCGCACCTTCCACTCATTGAGAATACGCCAACATTAACGCCAGTAAAGTATAATACACATTATTGCTAGTGGTTCACGCAAGAAAGACTGTAATTATTTCTGTTGACACGGTTCGTGCTAAAGATCTTCTCCGCCCTTTTTATCTGTTATGTGCTGCGTAACATATCAGATCTCCAGTAATTTAGAAAGGTTCTCAAGTAGGTAAAAATGCTTTAAAACAGAAATAAATTCGTAGGTTGAAGTTAGCGGCTGTTTTTTTTTTTTTCTTTTCGTAAACAAACTATAACTGGTACAACACATATAAAAAAAAGCATATTTTAATACTCTGTCACTACATCCGCGTTCCGACAAGCTCTAATTCTTTAGTGTCATCTCAGACCATTACAGTCAAGATTCGTCTTGTTACATCCAGTGTTGAATTAGCCACATTCCCCACTTGTTCTTTTGATAAGAAGAACATTCTACCCACAAAGCTTCTAACGAGAAAACGCTACTTTGTGGAACAGACTCTCTGGATTTTTTAAAAACATCAAATTTACCCTAAGCAAGGCAATAAAGCCACTAAAACACAAGAGGTTACTGGGGGTGAAAGAATTAGAAAACAAACATTATGAAAGAGCGGGTACAATAAAAGTGTAATCAAGAGGAGAGAAGAGAACGATTGACATTGCGTGTAAAGTTTTGGAGATCAAAGTTGGTCGGAAAGCACGGCATCGGAAGAGAGTTCCACGGGCGAGAAGTGCGACAAAAGAAACTGTTAGCATAGAACTTACATTTAGCCAATTCAATTGTGAAATGGTGAGACCTTGTCGCCAATCTAGCACTGAACTTAAATGCATAGTCTTAGGTACCATAGCGAAAAGTTCATCAGAACAATTACCGTGAAAGTATTTATAGAAAAGGCAAAGGGAAGCTACGGTGGTGGTTAAGTGACTGAAGCCGAGATGCCATGATAGAACCAATAACATTGCAGATTCTTCTTTGGATCTCATCAAGAATCTCTAAATATATAGCAGGAGCACCAGACCATATGTGGCAGCAATATTCAAAGCAAGGAAGAATGGTAGACTTATAAATATGGAAGATAGATTTTCGAGAAAATTTTTTGTCAAATACGATATAGTGAACCAAATTTCTTATTTGAAGATTAGCAATTGAGTCAATATAATCTGTCCACATCATAGCAGCTGAAAACGTTAGTCCGAGAAGGGGCAATGAGCCACTCTCTTGAAGGTTAGCATCAGCCATGCTGATGAAAGGTAAAAAGAGTTATCTCAGATAATTAAAACAAAGCAGTTTCGTTTTTGAGGCGTTAAAATTAACAAGCCATTCCTTTCCCCATTTAACAACAACTGTAGGTCATATTTTTAGATCAGCTGCTTAATTTTGAATATATCGAACCAATCAGATTTACTATTAAAACAGGAGTAAATACTTGTGTCATCAACATAGATACTGAGTTGAGGACTGATGACACCAGGAATGTCATTTAAGAAAATTAGAAACAACGTCGGTCCAAGGATAGAGCACCGAGGAACATCTGCACTTATACAAAAACATCGAGTAGAGTGGCCATTCAAGACCACCATCATTTCGCGATGAGAAGAAAGTCTGAATCTGTTCAAAAATTCGCCCAGAAATACCATAACATTTCATCTTGTGAGAAAAACCGGTAGGCCAAACCCTGTCAAACAGAAGTCGAACGTCGGTGGACCGCAATAAACAAAACGAAAACTTGAGTAGAAAATGAATGACCAATGTTTATTGACACACGTAGGTACAAGATGCGGACGTATAGAGAATTGTCGACCTCAAGTCAGCCTGAAGTTGAGTGAGGGTGACAGAATGTCCCTTTTGTTGGAACGGCTACCAAACACGTCCGAACTCAATGGTTGGGAAGTGAGAAGAGTACAATCATCTTTTTTCCGGAAGTGGGGAGGCCATAAAATTCACACGTGACCGGAAACCATTTTTGGCTTCATTTTGCATTATGGGAATTTTATTATTATTATTAGTTTAGAATGAAAATGGAAACAAACAAACAAGAAAAAGAATGTGGTTGAATGAAAATAAACTAATGTTTATTTTCATTCTCCCACATGCCCTTTGAAGCCATTTTTATGATTTCTTTTCTAAAGCTTGATAGACTCTTTCAGCAATTAATGTTAACACATCCGCAGTTGAACTAGTAATGCGAAAGCCATATTGCTTATCTGAAAAAAGACCCTACGATGTGAGATGTTTGACCAATTCAGAGTTAAGGATTCTAGTAATTTTCCAAAAAGAGGAAGAAGGCCAATAGGCTGGCAGTTAAAGGATCAAATGTTTCTTAAAGACTGGAACAATACAAGAGGATTTCCAGCAAGTAGAAAAGCAAGCAGCCACAAGGCATTAATTGTTACATTTAGAGAGAACAGGAGCCAGTTTAGGAGTACATTTCTTAAGGACTATTGCAGGAATTCCATCAAGTCCAAATATTTTGTGGGGATGCAGTTTAGAAATGATAGCAGAGACGTTGGACGGAATTATATGCATATCATTAAACAGAGACTCAGCTCTAAGTGGAAAGTCAGTTAAAGGTACCCCAGATGAGTGAAGACTAGAATTTAAAGAGAATTTATCAGCAGATTTTAACGTCTCAAATTGAGTGAAAAGTAATAGAAGACTTACTCTTATTTAACACACTATTACAGAGCCGCCAGTAGTCACATGAAGCAAACTTGTTAGAGTCTATACGGTGCCTCATTCTAACAGTAAACAAAGACTTTGCGGACACGTTTGCAATTATTTCGAGCAGTCACGGATAGGCGTCTTTTAGATCGGAAATATCACTCTGGTACACCTGGAAAAAGTGTTTCCTGTGGGCTATAGCGGCTGAACAGGCTCGTGTGAACTAAGGAGAAAATTGTGGTTACGTCTGATATTTATGATAATGTACAAACACATCAATGAAGACTTTACTCCAAGTAGGAATCTCTGTGGTACAATCCTCAATGGAAACTTAAGAATATCAATCCAAGGGGCGTCTCGAATAAATCACAAAATGAATCCCAATTGGTAAAAGAAAGAAGTCTTGTGAATAGGAGGTTTCATTCTAATGAACAACTCAAAAGAAATATCAATAGATACTTCAGTGTGTAAAGTGTTGTAATGATTTACAAGAGCTAGGAGAAAAGGTAAGGATAAATCAAGTAAAGAAGAATGTTGAACAGATTTATTAGGGAAACGAGTAGGGAAATCCACTATTTGACTGAGAGACTGGGCATTGGAAAAATAGTAAGATTGAATACCGGCAACATCAGTAATATTAGAATGCTTAAACCACTTGACGTGATGGACATTAAAATCACCAAACACAAAAATTTTCGCAGATGGACGTAGAGAAAGAGTCATTTCTATATTAGCAGAAATGTTGTTTAATATATTACATTCCTGAAAAGAAGGAGAGTGATAAAGGAAAAAGAGATAACTAACACAGTGCAATAAGCCACATGAAAGAATAGTTTGGAGACAAGAGATAATGGAAGATTATCTCTTGAGTCTCCAGGTGATTCTTTTATGTGCTTTCGAATTTCGTTTTCTCTTAAGGAAAAAAAAATTCAATGAATAATAAGTTTTTCAAAAAATTGCTTTCATTTTTTGTAAAATTTTAATTAAATTCATTTATAAAGTTTGAAATATTTTAAATTTCTGTGTCCATTTTTACCGGTTAGGTGATATTGTTATTAAGTAAAAACTACATTTACTAATCATAAACTTACTATAATTCATCGATATCTAGTATTTTAAAAAGAATTTTTGAATATTTTTGTGTGTCTCTAATTGTTCCAAATTTTGTAAATACGGATGTCCATACATGATCTTTTCAGAAAATAAGAGCAATAACTATAGTAAATTTAAGGTCAAAGTTCCTAAAATTCAATAAAATATCAGATTTCAAAAAAATATTTTCCTGAATTTTAAGATTACTGGGTAGTTAAAAATTATATTAAAAGAAGCCGCTCACGTTATATTTCACAAGTTTTATAGATATGTGTCCACCGTCCAAAAAAAAAAAAAAAAAAATAGATAAACTTCCGTCTGTTAGTCAAGCTGTCAACAACTTAGACAAACACAAACCTCAGTGTTAAAAAAATGCATTTCTGCGATATTTTAAACTAAAAGTAAATATTTGTTATAAATCTAATTAAGTAAGCTTTAAATAAGCTAATATTCCTCAAATAAAGTTTCACAAATATATATATATATCTTTAAAGACGTTTTAATAGAGAGGATTTCATTGTAGTGACAGATGGCTAAAAATCAGCGATTTTTAACGATTTTAAAACAAAAACATCTTCCAAGTAATTTAAATTACTTTTGAAATACAGCAATGCAGTTTTCTTATTGCAAATATTACATGTAAGCTATTTCTATTAGCTTGAAATTAAAACTAAAATAAAAGATTCAAGAATTATTTTTTCATTTTTAAAAATTCATTTTAAACCTTAGGTATCAAATTTCTGTAGAGGAACCTACAATAGAATACAACACTGGGCAAACAACTGGTTACAATTTTAATCAGGAATATCTACCTTCAAAAATGGGTCATGCTCATTATCTGTCACTGCTAATATCAAATACTTCTTAACCTACAAAGATGTTATTTTCTCTATCAAACATGAGTCAGCAAACTATAGATTATTTGTAACGCTAATCTAGCACAAAGTGGTTTAGCGAAAGTAGGTTATGGCCGACGTGATTAAAGGAAGACAGGATAAATCGTGGGATTATATGACTGAGTAAAGATATGTCTTGTGTTCAGTGACACGTTGCAGTCAAAGTGGGATATGACCGAGTAAGAATATGTCACCAGGTGCTGATGTGGATTTGGCCATGGAACGCATAATTAAAAAAATATATTTATTTCTTTCAGATTTGACAGGGATAAAAATCTACAATGAATATTAATTTTTGAAGAATTTACTTGTAATGTTTTTATGCGATTTTGACATTCTTCCGCTAGCTGATAACAAATCTTTTAATAAAAGACGCGTTTGAAGAATCCCAAAATGGAATGGTTAATGCCGTTTTCGAGTGTGTAATATTGTTTAAATAATTTTTTCTGATGTTTTTTTCTTTTAAAAACTGTTAAATTATTTTTTTGTACGGATGATCAAATAGGATATAATTCAGCAATTCTTAATTACCTCGTTACTCTTTATATAACGTTACAATAAGTATGCATGATGTTTAGAAGTGTCTAGAACATTTTGCGACATTGACAACTGAAAAAAGTAAAGTGAACTTAATCAATTAACAATATCAATTTATTCAGTTTTTATCGACTTTCTGCTTTTTTTTTACGGTAGCACATATAACAGACGCCTATCTGTGACTACTCGAAATAATTGTAAACGTGTCCTTGTTGCAATTCAATATTTTATGACATCAGATAATTGAAATAAATAAATTCATAATAAACCCCAAATAATTTAACCCTTTGAGTCCTGCGTTTCTGAACAATTTTAACTCTTCTGCCTGAGCTCCTGAGTTAAAATTCGCAAATGATTGGTATGCAATGTTTTACGGTAGATATAAAAATAGTTACAAGTGTTTAACCACCGTTCAACCGGTAGCTGAGCATTACGTCATTTTTTTCTACCTCTGTTCAACCAGTCGCTGGGCATTACGTCATTTTTCTCTACCTCTGTTCAACCGGTCGCTGGGCATTACGTCATTTTTCTCTACCTCTGTTCAACCGGTCGCTGGGCATTACGTCATTTTTCTCTACCTTTGTTCAACCGGTAGCTGGGCATTACGTCATTTTTCTCTACCTCTGTTCAACCGGTCGCTGGTCATTACGTCATTTTTCTCTACCTCTGTTCAACCGGTAGCTGACCATAAAGTCATTTTTCTCTACCTCTGTTCAACCGGTCGCTGGGCATTACGTCATTTTTCTCTACCTCTGTTCAACCGGTCGCTGGGCATTACGTCATTTTTTCTCTACCTCTGTTCAACCGGTAGCTGACCATAAAGTCATTTTTTTCTCTACCTCTGTTCAACCGGTCGCTGGGCATTACGTCATTTTTCTCTACCTCTGTTCAACCGGTCGCTGGGCATTACGTCATTTTTCTCTACCTCTGTTCAACCGGTAGCTGACCATAAAGTCATTTTTCTCTACCTCTGTTCAACCGGTCGCTGGGCATTACGTCATTTTTTCTCTACCTCTGTTCAACCGGTCGCTGGGCATTACGTCATTTTTCTCTACCTCTGTTCAACCGGTAGCTGGGCATTACGTCATTTTTCTCTACCTCTGCTCAACCGGTAGCTGACCATAAAGTCATTTTTCTCTACCACCAGTAAAGCGGTGGTCAGTGCTCAAAGGGTTTTTAAAAAAAGAAAAGAAGCAAACAATAAATTTAATGTTAAAAATTATTATTTTTTAAACTAAAACGAAACTAGTTCCTGTATTTTGGCAATTCTTGACGTATGCATTTAATCAAATTTGAAATATTTTCTTCGGGAGTAACTGCAATTGTTTGACCTATGAACTTGACAGGTTAAATATACGTTGCTGTTTTTAAATGTGTTTTTTTATTATATTTTAAGCCCAAATTAATAACATTTTTTAAAACCCCTGTTAATTAATTTTCTTTTGATTAAATATCCAGTTATTTGATTTGAAAGAGATTTTTTATTACAGTGTCTTAAAATTCCTGTCATCATTTTTTCTTAAGGGTTTTAGCACAAATTTTAACATAACTCTTATCTGCAATGAGAAAGCTCTAGTATCTTATTAATGATTATTTCACTCCGTTTTTATCTATTGATATCAATCTATTGCTGTCTATCTATATCAGTCTATTCATATCTATCTATCTATCTATCTATCTATCTATTAGGTCTTTCCTTGTCTATCTATCTATCTATCTATTAGGTCTTTCCTTGTCTGTCTATCTATCTATCTATCTATTAGGTTTTTCCTTGTCTATCTATCTATCTATCTATCTATCTATCTATCTATTAGGTCTTTCCTTGTCTGTCTATCTATCTATCTATCTATCTATCTATTAGGTCTTTCCTTGTCTATCTATCTATCTATCTATTAGGTCTTTCCTTGTCTGTCTATCTATCTATCTATCTATTAGGTTTTTCCTTATCTATCTATCTATCTATCTATCTATCTATCTATCTATCTATTAGGTCTTTCCTTGTCTGTCTATCTATCTATCTATTTATCTATCTATTAGGTTTTTCCTTGTCTATCTATCTATCTATCTATCTATCTATCTCAGTCTATTCATATCTATCTATCTATCAATCTATTAGGTCTTTCCTTGTCTGGCTATCTATCTATCTATCTATATCAGTCTATTCATATCTATCTATCTATCTATCTATCTATCTATCTATTAGGTCTTTCCTTATCTATCTATCTATCTATCTATCTATCTATCTATCTATCTATATCAGTCTATTCATATCTATCTATCTATCTATCTATCTATCTATCTATCTATCTATCTATCTATCTATCTATTAGGTCTTTCCTTGTCCGTCTATCTCTCTATCTATCTATCTATCTATTAGGTCTTTCCTTATCTATCTATCTATCTATCTATCTATCTATCTATTATGTCTTTCCTTGTCTGTCTATCTATCTATCTATCTATCTATCTATCTATCTATCTATATCAGTCTATTCATATCTATCTATCTATCTATCTATCTATCTATCTATCTATCTATCTATCTATCTATTAGGTCTTTCCTTATCTATCTATCTATCTATCTATCTCAGTCTATTCATATATATCATATATCTAGATAAGTCTAAGATACATATAACAATCTGTTCATGACTATCTAATTGTACCTGGAACCTGACAGTATAGAGATGGCCACAGTGTGAAAATTCCTCCTTGGAGGGGTGTACGCACTCGGATACTTACCGGTCACAGGGATCCGTCTCTGTGCTGGTGGCATCACGGCTATGACTAGCTTGTACCGGCTCTGACCAGTTTGGAACAGCTATGAAAAGCCAAGACCAGCTATGACTAGCTTAGACCAGCTATGACCAGTTTGGACAAGCTATGACCAGCTAAGACCAGCATAAAACAGCGGCCCGAGTGAAAGCCCCCACGTTAAAAACTGACCTTGTGTCACAACGTGACTAGGTGGGGGGGATCGTCAAGTAAATACCGTATAGAGATGGCCACAAATTAAAAGTCTACTTTATTACTTATTTATTTTTGCGAATTTAGATTAAGAATTAAGATTAAAAATTAATGGAAAAAAAATCTTGTTTTCTTGTTCTTTTATTGTTCTCGCTCCTTAACAGATTTTTTTTTTCGTGTCCTCTAACTCTCAGTAACCATTTGCGTCTTAGTAGCTTTATTATCTTACTTGGTGTGAAATGATTAAAAAAACATTTTAGAAAGTACTGTTTGTCTTGTATATTCTCAAGCAGTATCTTAAGAAGTACAGTTCAATATACATCTGACGAAGGCCGGATGGTACAAAGGCCGAAACGTTGGGATAACAACAACAAAGATGAGGACAATAGTTCGAACATAAACAGTGTAAATAATAATAACATCTCATCACATAAATTGTAACCTAGGGAAAGTTATTGAATAGAATAATCACACAAAGTTTGGTAATGAACGATAATACTTAGGAAAAGAACAAATAAAATTCGCCAGCGGCGCGTAGAAGTAGTAGTCAACTGCTAGAAGGGAGTCAAGTGAATTCCACAATGAATCTCTAAATGCAGGATATCTACCAACCGCCCCACGCGGTCAGATGCGGCACAAGGCCTAATTTAATGTGGTGTATCCGAGCCCGTAGGCTCGGCCAAAGATTCCCCGTAGACCCCCATATAAAACGGGGTCGGGTAGCTGTTTCCCGAGATGAGACTCTGTCCTTCGACATAGCCTCGTCTGGGGATCCTCTCTGCCCGGAGGCAGAGAGTTTGACCAGCACAATTGGAGACGAATCTCCAACTGCACGATATTTACTAACTGCCCCACGCGGTAAGATGTGGCACAAGGCCGAATTTAATGTGGGGTAGCCGAGCCCGAAGGCTAGGCCAAAAATTCCCCGTAAACCCCGTATAAAACGGGGTCGAGTCGCTGTTTCCCGACACGAGAGTCTGCCCTTCGATATAGCCTCGTCTTGGGATTCTCTCTACCTTCAGGCAGAGAGTTTGACCAGCACAGCTGGAGACGAATCTCCAACTGCACACCAACATACAGTATTTACTACTGTATTTATGTGAATGGGGACATACCCATTATCGTCCGTAGGTATGCTACAACAGAAATTAAAACAGTCCGGTTTATTACCTAAGGCGAGAAAAAAAGTGAATTCAAGTAAAATTGGTAAAAGAGGAATGAGAAGAAAAACTGGTGTGACTAATTTCTCGTTATTTTTTTTTTAAACTAAATCAAATAATTATAAGACTGTATTGAACTTTTCGGAAATTATTTGTTTAATAAAAAAAAATTATTATTTTCTAATTTTCTATATAGTTTAGGTCTGTCATTAAATTAAAATATACATGGACACGCTTAAACGTACGTACACACATAAAATTGAATAAAAATGGACATCTGCGTCACAAGGGTTAATTTTAATTTTGTTTGGTTAAAAAAAAAAAAAAAAAGTAAATGTCGAAATGTGCATCCTGTGGAGGTTTGATATTTGACTTCGTGCCGCTAACAAAAGTTGAATGTCGGTAGACTGCAATAAACAAGACGAAGACTTGATTAGAAAATGACTGGCCAATGTTTATTGACGCACGTGGGTACAAGATGCGGACGAATAGAGAATGGCCGGCCTCAAGTTAGCCTGAAGTTGACTGACGATGACTGAATGTCCCTTTCGTTCGAACTGCTACCAAACACTTCCAAACTCAATGATTGGGAAGTGAGAAGAGCACGATCATCTCCTTTCCGGAAGTGGGGAGGTCATAAAATTCACATGTAACCGGAAACTCTTTTTGGTTTCCTTTTGCATTATAGGAAAATGAAATTATTTATTTTTTATTATTATTTTATTCACTATATGATTTATTAGCTTATTTTCATTCTCCCACATGCCCTTTGACGCCATTTTTATGAAATACTTTTGTATTTATACCAAATATATTTTCTAATAAGTGTTGCATAAATAGTCAAGCGATTTTGATTTGAAACTTGCTCTTCTTACCGGAAGCGAAGCAACCACATCCATACAAGTAATAATAATTCCTTAAATATTTCTTTTCAAATTATATATAAGTATTATATGGCGGGAATATAGATATTTAGATTGTAGAGGGTTGGTATTTGGACTCCGTGCCGCTAACAGAAGCCGAATGTCGGTGGACCGCCATAAACAAAACGAAAACTTGAGTAGAAAATGAATGACCAATGTTTATTGACACGCGTAGGTACAAGATGCGGACGTATAGAGAATGGTCGACTTCAAGTCAGCCTGAAGTTGAGTGAGGGTGACAGAATCTCCGTTTTGTTGGGACGGCTACCAAACACATCCGAACTCAATGGTTGGGAAGTGAGAAGAGTACGATCATCTCCTTTCCGGAAATGGGGAGGCCATAAAATTCACACGTGACCGGAAATCCTTTTTGACTTCATTTTGCTTTATGGGAATTTCATTATTATTATTATTAGTTTAGAATGAAAATGGAAACAAACAAACAAGAAAAAGAATGTTAGAATATATTTTCTAATAAGTGTTGCATAAATAGCCAAGCGATTTCGATTTGAAACTTGCTCTTCATACCGGAAGCAAAGCAACCAGGTCCGAACAAGTAATAATAATTTGGGTGATCAAAAAATGTCGTTTCCTTTTGATTATCTATTTTCGAATATTGAAAAATTAACAACAGTTATAGATAACCTGAACAAGAAAAAAAAGCTACAATAAACTAATAGTACATACTTGTGAACTTTGTACTTTCTCGAATGATGTTCTCGTTCCGTGATTAGATGTAGAAAACATTACGTCATTCGCGTTGGCTGTTGTTAAAAGATTCCTACTATTTCTAAGTATCCATCTAGATACTGACAAGTGTCGACGTTGTTTCACTTTGTTGATCAATATATCATCGAAAGAAAAAGTAACAATAACAAAAAGCAAGTATTATTCTCAATATTTAATAATTCAAAATTCAGACCTATTTTTTTTTTTTTTTTGTCTCACTAGTTAGAGAGTCCAATATTTACTACATCGCGACTGGCAAATCCAGACAGCTGTCTAAAAAGAAAAAAAGACAGACATAAGGACATCTATATCTATAATTCTCAAAATGTGAGTGTGTATGTATGTATGTGTGTGTGTGTGTGTGTGTGTGTGTGTGCGTCATCGGATGTTGTTTATGCGTTTCCACAGTTTTCATCCGAACGCTTCTGCATGCGAGGCTGAAAATGATGATCAAAGGACTCAACGGCTGAGGAGAAACGCCTTTTCAACTGCTGCTGCGCGCGAGGCTGAAACAAGATTGGCCACCCCACTTCACATATGCTAGGACACAAAAATCTCCTGAGCCGACCAAGCATAGAAATGAATACAATATGGGAACCAGTAATAAGGAGTGCCAAAGAAAAGCGATAATAACAACAAAAATTGCAACATGAGCTCTGGTCAAAACATGAATGATAACAGGAAAAATTGCAATACGAACACTGGTAAAAATGATTGCTAAAGACATTAGGTTTATAATATTTCAAAATTTATACACAGATGTCCTCAAGGACACATGGCACAGTGGATAAAGGCGTTAGTTAGATACAGTGACAGAGTGTGAGTTCAATACCTAGTTAAGGCAGTGGAGAACTTGGAGATAACTGATAACTGACATGAAACATGGCACGTGGAACTAGAACAGTCTACCCCAGTGAGCGAAATAAAGGGTTCAGTTCGACATTCCAACCGTACAACGGCCGAAACGTTGTAATAAATATGGCGACAAAGATGAGAACAATAGTCCGAATAATGTAAATAAAACTCATACGCGTTATTTGCCTTAAAGGAATACGAACAGTCAACCTTTGTGGATTGAATAAAGGATACCCGAAGAAGGCCAGAGAGTATAACAGCAAAAAAACAACAAAAAAAACAACAAAACACACACAAAAAAAAACAGTATTACAAACTAGATGGGCAAAATAGTTCGAATAAATTTATGGTTAATAACTTTTTTTTAATTCGGTAGTTTGTCTGAAGCAATAAAATACAAAAGAACCCCCCCGCAAAAAAAAAATCAAAGAAATGCCCATCTGAAAGATTTTAAAATTAACTTCTTAAACTACATTCAAAGACACGTGTTTATGCTGCTTGAATGTAATGAGGAATATTACTGTCTGTCACCCTCATTAATCCCAGTCGTTATAAAAAGTAGATTTCAAGAGAAAATGAGAGCGGGGTAGAAATTCAAATCATGCGAGACGGGATACAACCAGTGAATGAGATTGAAACCATTGAGTATGAAAAATAACAAAAAATAAGAAAGAAATGTACAAGTGTGGCTTGCGTATAAAATGCCTATAAATGAAATGTACAATTGCATGAGTCTTTTCTTAGGACTATGAAATATGTTCTGGTTATGAAGGCAGCGTTTTGGGAGACGCTAATACGACGCCTTTCCATAATAACGAACTGATGAAAAAAGGCCGAGCCTCGTAACCAGAGAGAAAAAAAAAAGGAAGAAAGGGGTTACTGCTACATTTTAGAAGTTTCCGCGAGCGATTCTCATTGGTTCATCAGTAGGCTACGTAATATCTATTTTTGGCGACGAAAATAAGCGTGACGTGCAGATTTTAATTTCCGCTAGACTCCACAAGCTCTTTTGCTGTTCTTGCCGGGAGGTTTTTAATCTTGTAAAATAGAGTGTCTCTGAAAAAGAGTATATTAGAACAAAATACATTTTTTCTTTTTTCTTTTTCTTTCTTTTTTCTTTTTTCTTTCTTTTTTTTATTTCTTTCTTTTTCTTTCTTCTTTTCTTTTTCTTTTTATCATCTTTCTTTTTTCTTTTGCTTTTTCTCTCTTTCGTTTTTTCTTCCTTTATATTTATTTTGCTTTTTCTTCTTATTCCTTTTTCCTTCCTTCTTTCTTTTTCTTTTCCCTTCTTTCTTTATTTCTTACTTTTTTCTTTTTCTTTCTTACTTCTTTTTTTCTCTTTCTTAGTTCTTTTTGCTTTCTTTCTTTTTGTATTTTCCTTTCTTTTTTCTTTGTCCCATATAAAAAAAGAATTCTTTATTCTTTGTGTTAAGCTTAACGACTTGGGAACATTTAAAATCCCACAAAAGAAAAATGAAAAGAACATAATTATAGATAACTATTCCTTCTGCACAATACTGCCACAAATAAAAAAATAAACAAATAAATGGCCGTGATAAAAGAACCGATTTTGGGCGCCCGTCCTGCAGAAAAATAGCAGAGTTTCTTATACTTTTGGTAATTCTTAATTCTTATTTTTTGAAATTTGTTTCGCGCTATAATATTGTCTTCAATTTCAATACTCTTGTGTAAACGCTTTCAGAATCATCGAATGAGAACTTATATTGCTGTACTTTAGTCCGTGTTTACGGTATCTTTGGGTACGTTTTTGAGGTGATCCAGTCGTTCCTATCAAATTGCGCAATGAAAGTTGTCCTGAACAACTATACGTCTACATCCTTTAGTACTAACGCGGGTGACCCCAGGGCCCAAATCCTTGGTCCTACGCTTGGTCCTACGCTGTTTTTAATCTTCATTAACGACCTTCCCAATGACATCAGCTTTCAACTTGGCATCTACGCTGACGACACTACCATTTACTCCCGCCTCGATAATAAGGCTGATAAATCAGATAAGTTCAAAATGACAGCTAATGTACAAAATGACCTCAAGACCGTCGTTAACTGGGGCAAAAGATGGCATGTCAATTTTAACACCTTCAAAGCTAAATTTCTCTCCATTAATCATCTGATAGAAGCTATGTCCGCTGGCCATAAATGGACAAATATATTAAAGAAATAGTTGCATGTTGCCACAAATGAGTTTTGATAGTAAAGCTACAATTGATCATGGACAGATACTCCGTATTCAAGGATTCAAATTCGTAAGTAATCATTGATTATTATCCAAAATCTTCCGAAAATCAACAGTATTAACAACACATAGATTCTTTATTTTTTACTATTGGTCATCCGATACAATGCCCAAGAGCCATTCAAACAAGAGAGTTACTAAAATAGGATGTTGTAAGAGCGTACGGAGAAGGAGCAAAGATTTTATATTATGATGGTTTAGATAAGGGTTGAACCTCGACTTGAAGAAGTCAAGATTTGTAATGATCTGGGAAGTAAACTCTCGGGAGTCTGTTCCACATTCCAACAGATTTGGCACATAATCTGTCTGATTAGAACTTATTCCACACCAATGGAATAGGAAGGGAATGAGGATGAGTCCACTGTCTACGTGGAATGGCGGGTCCTAGTTGCGTTGGTCTTGGCTGGAGGAACCTGGGAATGTAGTTCGTCCGAACGTGTCATGAAAATAGCGATAGAGTAATGAGAGGCTAGGAACGTTTCATGGCGATGTTATGACAGCAGCAGAGACAATAAAAGACACGGAACGTGAACACGACACACAACCGCGTCTTCAGTTTGTGTTTTTGTACACTTTATTGCAAAAGCTTATCGATGTTAAATTAAGCACGTCTAGAACATACGAACCTAGTTACTATCAACGCAAATTTTAGCAGTAGTATTAATGCAGCTATTTGTCACTGACTGCTTATTGTTACTACTAGAAAATTACACGCATTTATAAAACAACGTAAATACGTAACACTCTCCTCATGTAGACACATTCTGTTTCTTCTATCATACTAACACAATTGATTCGGCTGTATTGTAAAGAAAACAGACAAAAATATTTTTGTGTAATCATCAACTTTTTATAGGTGAACAAACCCACAAAATGTTACCAACTCAAGGAAAGCCCGTTATACTTCAGGAAATGTTAATACAATGTGCGACAGAAATACCTCCTACATATACCCCCGGGAATACCTACCACATAATGGTAAAAAATGGGGTCAGCATCTAGTCTTACTATTGTGTGGGAGATGTTTCTGGGATGTATTTCTGCCGCACCCTATATTAGTTTTTTAAACATTATTTTTACATTGATGCTCACTATGTTCAAGGCCCAATATCTACGCAAGGTAGAGGGTTACAGAGTAAATAGCACAGTTTAAGGGAATATGTTGGGAAGATAACGATATATGGCAGCAGTGCTCCATTTTAGGCTTGATCTGGCTCTTGTAAAGGTAGAGGATAGCAAAAGGAGTCAGATACTTACTGGAGCGGTACAGAGAACCGAATATTCTTCCAGCATCTTTACCAATGGATCGTATATACGATTTCCATGAGGTCTGGGTTGAGTTTGAGGCCCAAGAGGCACTCAAGGCACAAGTCCTCCCTGATGGAACAACCGTTCATCGCGATCGGTGAAAGTTCTGCTTCTGCTCGGTGATGATCGAACGTACTTATTAAAAGAGATGAACATTTCGTTAGAAATAAAGAAAGGAACACTGAACAGATATGTAATATTTATCCTCCCCTTTGGCAGCAAATTCTTCCTTAAAGATGAAAAAGCAGCAACATATTTGTGGTTCTACAGAAGCATACTGAAAATACTATGTACGGGACATGTGAGCATCGAGAAAGTTTAGATGAAAATAAGATTTGGGGGACATTTGGGCGATATTATTTTTCACACATAATTACCATGACTTAAATAACGTGATCCAACGGAGAAATAAATAAATTTTCACCAATAACACTGATTTAATTACTGCTGACTTTGATCCGTCTTAATGAAACACCCTTATGTATAATCCGTCTTAATGAAACACCCTTTAGTTCGAAATTACTGTTACTAGTTATTATATGTGATCATGTTCGTTGTTTTCTAAGTGGAACAATTCGACAGAAATAAAATGTAAAATATATTGAGCAATAAAGGAGAAAGCAGTGATAAAACGCGAAGGAATATCATGTATATTTCGTTACGTGACTGACGAGGCAGATTTTTTCCGCAGTAGGTTGACATTTCTTTTGCGGTAGACCAGTTGCCATCCAAGGCTATAGAACCCGGTCTGTCCTGCTATTTACCTATAGCTGGGGGAGAAGAAGGGGATTCATACCTTACCCAAGTGTATTAGCACGTAAGTGTATGTAATATATAAATATATATGTATAAATATAGCATACCTTAAAACTATATTTTATCATCTACTCAAATAAGGTTTAAGTGGTATAAATCTGCTGGATTAATAAATAAATGAAAAATTACTTCTTTAGAAATAAAAAACTGACAAGGACTGTTGATTTTTTTTTTTGAATTTTTGCAATTTTTGAATGAGGTGTTGCGTATTGGGTTCAAAATTATGGACAAACTGTCCAAAGTTCAAGTATTTTCGACAGTCACTTACAAGAACCAATGTGCTGTCTTTGATAAGCAGAATCCTTTTGTCTACATCCGGGTATTATTCGGAAAGCTGAACCTTTGAAATAGTCTACGATGGCATCATGTTTAATGATGTGTGTGTGTGTGGGTTTTCGCTTTGAGCGTGTATGTTTTGGGGCAGCAAACTTTCTTTTACGCATGTTTCATTAAATGTGACGGACAAAGATAATTTAAATTGTTTTATAGACACCCAACGTGTAACTACTACTACTACTACTTCCATCCAGCCCGTCTTAGAATTACTACTATTTCTGCACGACTCAGCTTAGAATATAAACACAGAAAACTATATTAACAACGAACCCATTGAAAATTGTAAAGTTATTGACCAAAAGCAGTTAAAACAATAATGAACTACGGACATTTTCTACACTCTTTTAATCTTTATGAATGAAAAGAAACTGTAAGAACACTAGAAAAAAAAAATAAAAAACAAAGTCGAGTTTAAATTGGATCCTCGGACGATCACGTGCGGGTAGTTCCAGAAGTTATCCAGTTTCTTCGACAATTTTGGATGCCTCGGACGTCAGAGATTGATCCTGACCATACATCTTTAGATGCAATGGGTTGGTGCTGCCTGATTGTGGAGGTCTTTTGCCCTGCAACTGAAGATGAGTTTTTTTTTTTTCTTGAGTTGGGACCGAAATACTTTGGAGCGATAACTGGCCGCTCTTGTATGTAATTATTTTTTTTTTTTGACTATTTCTTTTTTCATAACCAAACACGTAACATTGTCTTTTCGCCTAGAACTCGTTCATCATTCACACCATTTCACAATAATCTATTTACTCTATGAGATAAAATGTATTCCAATGATATACGAGGTTTGATCAAAAAGTATCGAGACTGGTGCCTGATAAAGAATACTACAACGCACATCTAATTTAATCTCCTTCGAAATAATCTTCTTCCTAAGCTTTATTCAGCTAATACTTTATTCAGCGTCGTTCCTATTGATGGACACATTTCTGGAACTAGTTTTGAACAACGAGCAGCTGCTTCGTCACATTCTCTTGGATTTCCTTCATGTCTTGAAATTTTGTTCCTTTCAAAGTCCGATTTGATTCTTGAAGAGGAAAAGTTTGCAAGGGGCGAGTTCTGGGAAATATGGAGGTTGCCGGAACTGGGGAATGTTGTGCTTGGTCTAAATCTGCTGCACAGGTCATGGTCACTGATAGAATGTCTGTAAGACAACCACACTCTCCACACCTCCCTTCCAAACACTGCTGTAAACAAAAGAAGTGAACGAGAACGTTATAAATTAGTCTGTATGCGCGACAGAGTTCAAGGTCACTCTGTATCAAGCGGCTTCATTCTGCGTACTTTAGCTTCGTTACCATAGCAACAGTCCCAATAATTTTCATCAAACTCCTCTGTACAGTTTAGAGATTAGTTTTATAAGTGAATAATAACGCGAGGAGAAAAATCCGCAAATAAAATTTAACAATGGTGGAAACTTTGTACAGAAACTTCTTTCCTTACCTAACGAAGTCATTGCGTTAGATTTGGGATCGTCGTTGAGAAGGATTTCTTGTTATGAAGATAAACTACATCCGGCAGCAAGGCCTCTGATCAAGAGATTGACGGTTTTGAGGAGTGTGGAACCATCTCTTAATTGCTGTGGTTCCCATGCCCACCCTGACCCGGGGTTATAGTCTATTTTAGGGTCCCAGCTATGGACAAATATTGAACACCCAAACCGGGGGTCAATACATGAAAATATAAAAATAATTTAGAAAAAAATTACCAGCAATACATTTTTGGAAAAAAAATTACCAGCAGTATATTTTTGGAAATAAAATGACCAAAGCTCACGAGAAAATCAATTTTCGTTATTAAATGACCCATAAGGAGTTGATATGCCGTTAACCAACCAAACCAAACCCGTTCAAGCAAATGCTCTTTTCACAAATTTCTACCTCTGCTCACAAATTTATGCCTTTCCATATCTAGCTTCTTTTCAATTCTAATCTCATTGTCTCTTGATGTGCAGCCATCACATTTTATTAATTTTTTTCTTTCATCTGGTTTTCTTTACATTTTTTTTCTCTTGCTTTCTTTTCCCTTACCTCTCATCCTTCACAATCTCTTTCGCTTTTTCAAATGTCCTTAATATTATTATGTAGGTACCATGGTTAGAAACTTCTCTTGAATTCTACCATAACTGTCTTACATACAAACCATCAGAATAATGGTATAGATTATTTCTGTTCTCACAGATAAGATCTTAATATCCGGCAATCAATGCCTGGATTACGAACCCCAGCCAGCAGCTTTATGAATCATAGATTTTTTTTCCTCTCACTGTAAGTGTTCATCATCAGATTATACTTGCCATTCCTAAAAGTCTTCCTTTCTGTAACAGTTCCACTAGGCAATTAATGCCATGTTTCTTTATCCATGTCTCCATTCTGTCAGTCACCGAACCAAGTACTCAAATAGAAATTGATATGAAGGTGACCTTCTTTAAATTCCAAGGTCAACTTCAATGGGTCAAAGTTGACTAACTTCTCTTGTCCCTTTTACTCTATCCTTGTGTAAAAAGGACAATAATGGATCGATTATATATTATTATTTAAAAAGTATATTTTTTGGCCTGAATTTGTTTTAATAATATCAATGACCAAGCGAAGGGTGTGATTTTTTTGTTGTTTCCACTTGTATCAGTATGATTTCTCACACATACTTGAATAGGTAGATTCTTTTTCCTTTTAAGTTAATTTAATGACCAGGGTTTCTTAGGAATCTTGTCACAAGCCTGTCTTTGAGTAAATTTAATGACCGGGAATTTTCAGGAATAGGTAGATTCTTCTTCCTTTTAAGTTAATTTAATGACCATAGTTTCTCAGGAATCATGTCTCCAGTCTGTCTTTGAGTAAATTTAATGACCAGGATTTTTTAGGAATAGATAGATTCCTCTTCCTTTTTAGTTATTTTAATGACCAGGGCTACTCAGGAATCTTGTCTCCAACCCATCTTTGAGTAAACTTAATGACCAGGATTTGTTCAGGAATCCTGTCTCCAGGCCATCTTTGAATCGTCAAACATAAAGATTTGTTAGTGTTTTTAGATATTCATAAAAGTAAGATCCTTTGAAAAATTCACCACCCAAAATCTCTCTGGGTGGTCCTCCTTTCTGGTTGTTGGAACACGAATGGACGGAAAATGGGTGGGTGTGTCTCCCAGCCAGTATCCATGTAATGAGCAGTCAATGTAACGGTCCAAAAATCAGTGAAATGGTGAGCAGTACGAGAAACGGCCAGGCAGAGTGTGTAGGGGTTTGTTTTCCGTGGCCGGAACTTAGTGACATAGAAAAAGTTCTTTTTGTTTTCATACCAGAAGGAAAACATTGCAGATTAAGTGAGAAATCATATTTTTTTTAACTACTTTCCAACCAAACAAGAGTCTAGAAAAGCATTTGCCGTCATTTCTTTGTTGACGTCGAATCACGACCATAACTGATTCCTTATCTGTGGAACGCAACGAGCGTCGGTGTATTCGCATACAGCCAACCTTGGATGTCATCACAGCTTGTGCAGTGACGTGCAGAAACACGTCATCACACGCTTAATTAAACAAAAGGCAATAATTAAAAAATCTCTTAAATGGACAAAACTCTTCATTATTATTATTATTATTATTATTATTATTATTATTATTATTTCTGTTGTATACACATTTCCTTCAGGGTCCCAACCAGAAACCTAAGGTGAGAAATGTCTTCATGACATTTTCCACTGTAAAAAAGAAATATCCCTAAGATCACATACATTTTAGGTAGATAAAACTCTTCGTAATGCGTTAGCTGTACTTGTGAGTACAATTTTTTGTATTTCTTTAAGGCATCGACTACGAGGGATCCCTTCAATGAGTCTATCGGACCTTTTTCCAATCAATCCGAAGGATCCAACCAAAACTGGAAATACTGATGTCCTCATCTGCCACATTTTTGAGATTTCTACTTCCGAATGCTTGTATTTTAATAGTTCTTTGAAGATCTTCTAAGATTCATTACAATCTACAGGAACTGCCATGTCCATAAGAAAGTACATTTTGTTTTTGTGATCTTTGATCACGATCTCTGTGCGATTAGCTTTGATTATTCCGTCTGTGCGTATTGTAAAGTTCCATGAAATTGTAACAGGTCCTATCTCCGGAACTAGGTCTTGGTGGTGTTCATACCAATTTCTTACAGTTTCCTTCCAGTAAAAGTTATTATTATTATTATTATTATTATTTTATTTCCTTTGATTTCTGATGTGTACTCATTTCTTTCCTGGTCCCGTACAGAGACCTAAGGTGAGAAATGGCATCATGACATTTTCCACTGAGCAATTAAAAAAAAAATCACACATATTTTACGTAGATAAAGCCCTTCGTAAGGTGTGGGCTGTACTCGTGAGAAAATGTTTTTGTATTTCTTTAAGGCGTGGGCTGCCAGGAATCCCTTCAATGCGTCTATTGGAATCTTTTCCAATCAGTCCGAGGGCTCCAACTACAACTGGAATTTTTGATGTTCGCATGTGACACATTTTTGAGATTTCGATTTTAAGGTCCTTGTATTTTGAAAGTTTTTTGAAGATCATAAAGATACATTGCGGTCTGCAAGGATTGCCATATCAATAAGAAGGCACTTTTTGTGTTTGCTGTCTCTAATAACGATGTCTGGGCGATTAGCTTTGATTCTTCTGTCTCTGTGTAAGTTCCATAAAATTGTTACAGGACCTATCTCCGTAACCGGGTTTGGGTGGTGTTCAAATATTATTATTATTATTATTATTATTTTTATTTTCTTTGATTTCTGGCGTTTACACATTTCTTTCCGGGTCCCGCCCAGGGACCTAAGGTTAGAAATGGCGTCATGACACTTTCCACTGACAAAAAAAAAAAAAATTAAATTACATAGATAAAGCCCTTCGTAAGGTGTGGGCTGTACTTGTCAGAACAATTTTTTTGTATCTCCTTGAGGCATGGACTTCCAGGAATCCCTTCAATTAGTCTACTGCAATCTTTTCCAACCAGTCCTAGGGCTCCAACTACAACAGGGATTGTTGATGTTCCCATATGCCACATTTTCGAGATTTCTATTTCAAGGTCCTTGTACTTTGACAACTTTTTGAATATCTTCAAAGATACATTGCAGTCTGCAGGGACTGCCATATCAATAAGGAGGCACCGTTTTTGTTTGTGGTCTTTAATAACAATATCTGGCCGGTTAGCCTTGATTGTTCTGTCAGTGTGTATTGTGTAATCCCATAGAATTGTAACAGGTCCTATCTCCGTAACCGGGTCTGGGTGGTGTTCATACCAGTTTCTTTCAGTTTTCTTCCCGTAGAAGTTGCAGATTTTCCAGTGCAGATATTGGCCCACTTTGTCATGTCGGGTTTTATATTCAATGGGTGCCAACACCGTACAACCTATTATTATTATTATTATTATTATTATATGTTGCAGGCAAGAAGTTTGTTTTCAGGTCACCTCTCGTGACTTAAGAAAATAAATAGTCATTGGTTCTTTCCATCGACAGGCTGTATCCTATACCTTCTGAATTATTCCTGAAGTTCCGAGAAGGCAAGTTTTTTGTAATTGCTCTATTTCAATAACACAATCCAATATATGCAAGTTATTTTCCATGTTTTTTGTACAACACCCCACAGCTCCAACTATCACTTAAACTATTACTAAGTTACTTTCTTTGTTAGTCTTTCCCAAACTTTCATACTTTAAATTATTATAACTGTCGATCTTTACTTTTTAACTTTTCTTTATTTATTTGCTTTCAATTCTTGTGTCAGATGGACATGTGACTTCTATCAAGTAGCGGACCTTATCTGTTTGTCCAGCAGGACTAAATTTGGTTGGTTTATTGTACTCTAAATCTGTCACTGCCTGTATGGGAATGTCCTATCTCTCTTTGCTATTCTCCAGAGCCTTCTTCTCCTAAAGAAACTCATCATATAGAGGGAAAAAAAAGAAGAATATTAATGTGAAAATTCCAAACGAAAGATGAACGAAATTTATTTGTTTTATTTTTAAATGTCAAAACGAGACTGAAATGACAGCAGCAGCAGAAATAGTAAAGGCATTAGTTGAAGTAGCTGCCTACCTGTAGCGAATAAACGAACATAGCAGAGTCCATTTTGTGTCACTCTGTGTGTAGTGACCCCTTTTTCATTTTCTGTTTCCTTTAGCGTGATAGAAAATCAACCAAAAGACACAAAAATGTGATAACAACTCTTATATAATAAAATGAGATTAGAACCGTTTATTCATTTCTCTTTTTCTCTTTCTCTTTCTCTCTCTCTCTCTCCCTGTCTCTCTCTTTCTATCACTCTCTTTCTCTCTGTCTCTTGCTTTGTCTTTCTCTGTTCTCCGTCTCTCTTTCTGTCCCAGTCTCTCTCTTTCTATCTCTCTCTTTCTTTTCTCTTGCTTTCGCTTTCTCTCTTTCTCTGTCTCTGTCTTTCTCTTTCTCTCTGTCCCTGGCTCTCCCTTTCTATCTCTCTCTTTCTCTTTCTCTGTCTCTTCATCTGTCTTTCGCTTTCTCTATCTTCCTGTCTGTCTCTTTCTCTCTCTCTCTCTCTCTCTCTCTCTCTCTATCTATCTATCTCTTTCTCTGTTTGTCTCTTTCTCTCTGTCTCATTCTGTCTGTCTCTCTTTCTCTCTCACTCTCTTTCTCTCTCTCTCTCTCTGTCTCGCTATCTCAGTCTGTCTCTTTCTCTTTCTTTGTCTCTGTCTGTCTCTTTCCCTTTCTCTGTGTCTCCTTCTCTGTATCTGTCTGTCTCTGTCTGTTTCTCTCTTATTGTTTTAAATTGAAACGCATGCGTAAAAAGTGTATTTTTGTTCATACTTGATTGAAAGACTTGGTTTTCCGCAAGAATCATTAACATAGCATTCTTTCGTCATTTTGATAAATGAATCACTGAGAATACTCTAGACACACGACCTGATTGGTAATTCACTTACGAAATGAGTGGGCTAGGGCTATATCGCGTTGAAACACTGGTTCTCGTACGATCACCGAAGTTAAGCAACGTCGAGTCTAGTCAGTACCGTCGACTGGAGGAGAGCTCATCAGAACAATTACACAGAAAACATTCATAGAAAAGACAGAAAGAAGCCACGTCATGACGGTGAAAAAGTGACTGAAGTCGAGATGCCATGTCAGGACCTATAACATTACAGACTCTTCTTTGGATGGTGTAGAGAATATTGCAAGAGTTCCAAACCAGACATGGCAGCAGTATTCGATGCGCGGACGAATGGTAGATTTATAAATATGCAAGATGGATTTTGGCGCGAAGAATTGGTTGAAACGACGCAGTGAACCAACTTTCCTAGCACCAGACCTTGCAGTTGATTCAATATAATCAGTTTACTTCATATTAGCGGGAAAGGTTAACCCGATAAGACGCAAAGAGTTATTTTTCTGTAGGTTAGCATCAGCCATGTTGAGGGAAAGCAAAAATCATTTTCTATGGTGATTACTAGATAGCAGTTTCTTTTTCCATGCGTTAAAATTTACTAGCCATTTCTTGCCCCGGTTAACAACTAATGGGGGTAATTTTTGAAAGCAGTTTTCAGTTTTTCTTTTTCGAACCAATTTAAATTTCTATTACGACAGGAGTAAACAGTTGTGTCAACAACATCAATACCTAGTTAAAACCTAAGAACTCAACTCATGTTTTAAAATAGCCTCGTCATATCTAGAATCTGATATGGATGCCATGCATGGTGTTAAACGTGTTTGGAAATAACTAAATTATCATCAATATTCTCATTTTGAATATAGAACAATATTCTCAGATCTATGACTAAAACCGATTCACGCGGATGCTTTGATTAGGTCATAGAGAAATAGGTACTTCATCAGATTTTATAGACTGGCGCTACAGAATCACAAAAAAAAGTTACCGAATAACAAAGACCACGACACTTGAAGATGTCTAACAACAACAACGTGTCGCAAATATAGTACACTCACTCAATTAAGTGTCGTACGCGATACACGCTTGGGCGATCATGTCTCTTTCGATTCATGACTGAGTAAGCAGTGTACGTTTCGATGTGGTGTCATGGCTAGTAAGCTTGTCACGCTAAATCTATTACGACTGAATTTTCTGTTCGATCCTCATTTCGGTCACATCTAAGCCATACTTAGAAAATCTCCATGACTAACTAAGCAGAAGATTTTCCCGCAGTAAGTTGCCGTTTCTTTCTGTGGTAGACTGGTTTCTTTCTGCTGTAGACTGATTTTCTCTGTCTGTCTGTCTGTCTGTGTCTCTTTCTCTCTCTCTCTCTCTCTCTCTCATCTATCTATCTATCTATCTATCTATCTAACTCTTTCTCTGTTTGTCTCTTTCTCTAGAACTGCACATCCAAGATGTCTTTCTAAAGCTAAGCAAACTATTAAGAAACGGAAATAAAGAAAAAAGACAACTGAATTGTTATATAATATTGGTCCTCCTATATGGCAGTGAATACAGCTGCCATGTCGACGGTACTGACTAGACTCGACGTTGCTTAACTTCGGTGATCGTACGAGAACCAGTGTCTCAACGCGATATCGCCCTAGCCCACTCATTTCGTAAGTGAATCATCTCAATGATTACAAGACTTTACACCTCTTCGTTTATTGGCTAAGAAAAATACCAGCATGCATTTGTGTGTTTCTGCCTATAAATTGGAGAGGGTCAAAGGTTTTACAGTCATTTCCAATAGGATTGGTTAACCCTTCTATTGGTGAACTATAAAATGAGTCAGCTCATTTTGGCTGGCTCACTAGTACACCAGGGTACCCAAAAATTCCAACAAATGTAACAAACCAAATTGGAATTTGAACACGGCTCTCCGATTTCTCGTTATCCACTACACCACCTGCACATCCAAGATGGTTTAATTTGATAGAATCCTCAATGCTGACGAGTTCTCTCCTTTCTTTCATTCTTTTTGTATAAAGTTTATCAATGTCATCTCAATGATTACGAGACTTTACACTTCTTCGTTAATTTCCCCCTTCTCTGATTCAAATCTCTGTGTTATTTTTGTACAGCATATTTAATAATGGACACGACCAGATATTTATCATTTTGATAGGCTTTCTGCTTGGAAATTCAAATAGATATAAATAATAATTTATAAATAAACAACGTACGTAATTAAAAGAATATGGCACCATGACAAAACTGCAAAAATAATCATTTTGTGGGGGTTGAAGGAACTGGCTTATAAACAATATCGGAAGCCAAAGATCCAGGTGAGATTTGAAACTAGTAGTTGTAGAATTCAATATAAAAACGAGATCGGACTCGACTATTAACAGGACCTTAATGAATACAACTCGAAGCGGAATCAGACTTGAAATAGAAGAATAAAAACTTTTTTTTTTAATCGGCGATAGAACTAGAAATGCTGTATTTATTTTCAGAAGGTAGAGAGAAGGAGAAATAGAAAAGCAGAAATACTTCTGTTTGCAGAGATCATACAAAGGCATTCGATAAAATACGACTCGAAAACTTCTTGTAATGTGGAGTGAGTGGCCATTGTTAGATGCAAAATAAATAACTGTCCTGCAAACAGAATTGACAAAGTTTGCAATAACAAGAAAAAGTAAAGAACAGGCCAACAAATAATATAAAGCAAGCAAACAATATATGCAAGGCAAATTAACAGTAATAAGGCAAAACAACAGTAATGTGGCAAAAGGTTCATAAACTAAGAATTGGCATCAACACACAAGAGCAAGTTCGGACAAGCGAACTTAGCGTTCTGATTTCAAGACATGATAGGCCGGGGGTGGGGTTATTTACCTCGCCTCTCTACAAGGCCGTTTTTTATGTGGGGCGAGTCCGAACCCGTAGACTTGGGCAAAAATTCCACGTAGAGCCGGCATACACGGAGTCAGGCTTGTTTACATCTCCAAACGCGACTCTGCCATCCAGCATAGCTTTGTCTGGGTTCCTCCCTGCCTTCGAGTCAGATCTGAATCGGCAGATAGGGACTGAGTCAGATGAAACCAAGAACCGGCCTATTTTATTGGCTAAGAAAAATATCCCAGCATGCATTTGTGTGTTTCTGCCTATAAATTTGGAGAGGGGCAAGTGTTTTACAGTCATTTCCAATAGGATTTACAGACATTTGTACATTATGAAATTTTTGTCACCGATGCTTTTGAAGATTCCTATGAATATGTGGTATTGTTGTATATGTCGGGTTGAATGGTGATGGAAGAAGTCTTTTGGTGAATGAGTAAATTGTAATGGATGACTGGTTCGGTAATCTGATTAGCTAGGTTTAGGATAGTTAATCTTCACCAGTCTCTCCCTATTTCTCCTTCGGCCTTGTGCCACAATTGTTGTACAAAAACAGCAATAAATAATCATTCCCAATAGGATTGAAACCAACATGTAATATTAGTAAAGCTTCGACTACATGGAAAGGATATACAAATAATCCTCAGTCTGTATGGGAAGAAAATTTTTGTATGCGAACAGTGTACGGCTTAAGTGAGCACAGCTAAATAAAGAGAGAGATGCGACAAAAATGTCTTATCACTGGGTTTATTTAATTTACACAGCTTGTTATAAGAAGATTAGAGGAATTACTAGAACTTGTTATCAGTGAACGTGGCATTAAGAACATACGCTACTCAGACACTCTGATGATGGCAGATACAGAAAGAAAGGCAGTGTAATAACAGATGGCAAAAAAAAACTGACTCAGGTTAGAAAGAGCAAAAGAATAAATGCATTTCCGAAACAAAGACTATGTGAAAAAAGATCCCGACCATAATTTAGAATACACAAGAAGTAAAATGGACTGTGAATGATTTTATATTATCGATAATAATTTTATATTATTGATAGCAGACACAGAAATAACATAGAACGTAGTAAAGAAAAGCAAGAAGAAAGGACTAAGCATCAATTGTAAGAAGACAGAATGTATAGTTGTCAGTATAAGATATAGCCAATGATGTGAATTAGAGCCAACGAAATCAAGCAAATAGAAAAATTTAAACATCTAAGAAGTGATTCAACAGAGGACGGAAAATGCGACATCGAAATTCGAAGGCGCATTGGGATAGCGAAAGATGTCTTTCTAAAGCTAAGAAAAATATTAAGAAACGGAAATAAAGAAAAAAAAAACGATTGAATTGTTATATAATATTGGTCCTCCTATATGGCAGTGAATGCTGGACAATCTCTTTACATATGAAGAAGAAACTTGAAGCAACAGAAATGTGGTTCTATAGAAGACTGCTGAGTCCCAAGCAATGACTAAGTGTTAGGTAGAATTAAAACAAAAAGGACGCTTATAGTTGGAATCAGAAAGAGACAACTGAAATTTTTAGGGCGCTTAATGAGGAAAGACGACTTGGAGATTTTGACACTCACAGCGCGTAATTGATACATGCTTGTGTAAATGGTTCACAGAATAGGGATTAAGGTAGATAACAAAAAGATAATCTTGCTTAGAGCTAAAACATAGTTGTGAAGAGCCATGATCGCCTAAGTCCTGAATGGACAAACTGAAGGAGAAGAATTCGAAGCAAGATTCGTGTTTTCATTTCTCACCGGTGTTATTTCGCCTTTCGTTCCTCTGTGAAAGTATACCGGGCATTTCCCTTTCTTTTTTGTTTCACACCTATGCAAGCAAGAATCGAAGTACAACATGTGGTAATTTGTCCACTTGGTGAAAGACTGAGAGGGACTATTCACAGAGAGATTTGACAATATTCTGCACAATGAACTTGGCATGACTTGAAGGTTTCTGCTCGGTGGGTGCCACGTCTCCTGACACCTGATCAAAAGCGCCCCGGGCTGATCGCATCATTGGAAAATCTGACATTGAGGCAGATCCACCTGGTTTCCTTAAATGTTTCCTAACCCAGGATGAGTGTTGGGTTCATCAGCCGGATACAATCCATGCAGTGGAAACGTTTCTCCTCACCTGCTCCAAGAAAGGCCAAGGTCGTTTCATCTGCAGGGAAGGTGATGAGCTTAGTTTTTTGGCATGCAAAAAGTATTGCGTTTATTCATTATCTTCAAAAGGCAACACCCTCAATGGAGATTACTATGCTAACTTTCTGAGGCAGTTACGAAAGGCTATCAAGATCAGACGCCTATGAAAACTGATGAAAAGGGTCCTGTCTCATCATGACAATACTCCAGCACACAAAACCTTGGTTTCAATGGCTGCTGTGCCTAATTATAGCTTTAAATTGGTAGATCATCTTCCCTATTCTCCTGATTTGGCCTAATCTATCTGTCTGGGAAGCTGTATCACAGTGAAGATGACGTCATATCTGCTGCTGTTGATTTTTTTTAGCATAATGAAAGCTTCTTCACCAATGGAATCCCAACACTGCAACATCGATGGAAGAAGTCTACGGACCGCAATGGAGACTATGTTGAAAAATAAACCTCACTTGGTCATATTCTATTTAAGTATTTTGGTGCCACGTCGTCTCCTGACACCTGATCAAAAGCCCTGGGATGATCACATAACTGGAAAATCTGACATTCTTTAAGGCAAATCCAGCTGGTTTCCTTGAACGTTTGTTCAGCCAGGGTAAGTGTTGGGTTCATCAGAGAGACAATCCATGACTTGGAAACGCCCCTCCTCACCTGCCCACACCTCCGAGAAGATGACGTCATATCTGCTGTTGTGGATTATTCTTACCAACATGATGAAATTCAAGCACTGATGGAAGAAGAAGTCTGTGGACCACAAGGGGGCAATGTTGAAAAATAAACCTCATTTGGTCATATTCAATGAGAATGTCTTAGTCAGCTTCTGGAATTTTCCTACGACCCATCGTAAGTAATAAAGGAGGCACTGAGAATATTGAAGAGACTAAATCAAGTGAAGTGAAGGAGGAAAACAATTAATAAACCACTTAAAAAGTCAGTGTGTAACAGATGGAGGAACAAGTGCCACAAAGAGGTTCTCAAAAAAAAAAAAAAAAAAAGGAAAGTAATGCCGAAGAAACAAAAGACAGGAAGTTGCATTGTGCTATAATCGACCACGTCCCGAAAGCACACAGCCCAGAGAAATAAAAGAGAGTCTTTTCAAAGATCACCAAGTAGGTATCGTACCTTGTGCTTTTTGCTTCCCCTTTCCTTTCTTTGACGAATAACACCCCCACCTCGCTTCACAGCGTGTATACCGATTCCTTTATATCTGCTCATCATTGCATTCAAACCCAAGTCTTAGTACAATCTTTCGCGAGTTTCAACCTAGACAGGTACTTCTTAAAAGTCTTTTCTCACTTATTCTCATGCCGTTTAAAGATCTGTATGTTGTCTCATTCTGTGTTTTGAGAAGCGTACAGAAATTTCGCACGGCACGTAATTAAAATGAACT